AAAACATCTGGACAATATTAATGTCAATTTTAGTGCTATTTGTACTCATTTAGACCTATTTCCCTGGTTATTTTCCTAATTTTACCCCATATCTTTGATAATTTTGATCATATCTCAGAAACTAGAGGTCTCACCAAAAAATAATCAACTACAAAAATGTAGAACGTAAAATTCTACACTAGACACAATTCAAAAAATTTAAGACAATTTGGTCCAAAATGGTCTAAAATTGATCGAAAGACATGGCCTCCTCATTTTGGTGATTGTCGATGCACCATATTTCCTACTCAATGGGGTTTATCTCAAAAACTAGAGGTCCCAGCAAAAAATGGTCAACTAAAAAAATGTGAAACGTAAAATTTTACACTAGAATCTCAATTGAACATTTTGGAAAATTTAAGGCGAAATGGTCTGAAATTGGCCAAAAGTCATTTTCAGGAGAGTCGATGCACCATGTTGACTAATCCTTGGGATCATATCTCAAAAACTAGAGGTCCCAGCAAAAAATGGTTAACTAAAAAAATGTAGAGCATACAATTTTACATTAGAATCAATTTTGAAAATTCAAAAAAAATCAGGTTAAAAACTTTTTGGTAGCTCGAAAGCTGGAAATCCGATTTTTGGCCCCAAAACAACTCAAAAATGCTCAAAAAACCTCAATTTTCTATTTTCAAGCTCTGGATTGTCGTTTTTGAGCATTGCAACAAAATCAAAAAATAATTAGTCTCAGTGGGGTTTGAACCCGGGTCGTGAGATTGATAGAAAATTCATGAAAAAACCCACTGAGCCATTTGAGCACTTTTTCCAAAATTGTTCTAAAAATTGTTTTTTACGGTTTTCAGGGTCAAATTTTGTGTTTTTTGACAATTTTCAAAGTTCCCAGGGCACAATTCTGCCTGTTAAGAAAATTTTTGACACTTAAAAACGTAAAAAACCGCTCTATGTTATCAAAAATTTCCTTAAAAATAGTACTAAACAAAGCCGCTTCAAAATACAAGAATTATTTTTGAACTATTATAGAATTTTGATTCAAACTCAAAATGTTTTTCTACCATTTTTTCAGTTTGATCTCAAATTTCACATTTGGAGCTCTGGATTTCTATTTTTGAGCTCAGCGAAAAAATCAAAAATTAATTTTCTTCTGTGGGGTTTGAACCCGGGTCGTGAGATTGGTAGAAAATTCATGAAAAATCCCACTGAGCCATTTAAGCAAAATGTTTCGAAAATCGTCAAAAATGGCGCTTTTAGGAGTTTTTAGAGTCAAATTCTGGATTTCAAATTGTTTACGGTGTCATCAAATTGATTTGACTTCAAAACAGACCCGAAAAACCTGAAAAACGCACAAAAATTGGTCAAAAAATTGTCAAGACTTAGGGTATATCTCAAAAACCAGAGGTCCTACAAAAAATTAATCAACTAGAAAAATGTAGAAATGAATTTTACATAAGAATAAACTGGTAAATTCTAGAAATTTCCCCAGCAAACCTATCCAAAACACCCATTATTTGCTCTTTTTCTGTGTTCTCCCCCTCCTTGCTGCTGCTCCCTCCGATTATGCTCATTATATGCACAGAGACACTTCCGTGAGAGAGCACAGTTTCGAAACCCTCGTCTTGTGTGTTTTGTTTTCACGAATTTCAATCAATCTTAGTACTAATTTTGACCTTCTTTTTCGGCCAAAATTGAAATTTGAAATTTTAAGAAATTCCAAAAGCTTGGAAATTTCAAAAAATCTCGAAATTGTGATTTTGTGAAATTTTGATTTTTTTGAATTTCTGAATTTCTGAATTTCTGAATTTCTGAATTTCTGATTTTTTGAATTTCTGATTTTTTGAATTTTTGAGTTTCTGAATTTCTGATTTTCTAAATTTCTGAATTTCTGAATTTCTGAATTTTTGAATTTCTGAATTTTTGAATTTCTGAATTTCGAAATTTCTGAATTTCTGAATTTCTGAATTTCTGAATTTCTGAATTTCTGAATTTCTGAATTTCTGAATTTTCTGAATTTCTGAAGTTTTGAATTTCTGAATTTCTAAATTTTGGAATTTCTGAATTTCTGAATTTCTGAATTTCTGAATTTCTGAATTTCTGATTTTTTGAATTTCTGAATTCCTGAATGTCTGAATTTCTGATTTTGTGAAATTTTGATTTTTTTGAATTTCTGAATTTCTGAATTTCTGAATTTTCTGAATTTCTGAATTTCTGAATTTTCTGAATCTCTGAATTTCCTGAATTTCTGAATTTTCTGAATTTCTGAATTTCTGAATTTCTGAATCTCTGAATTTCCTGAATTTCTGAATTTCTGAATTTTCTGAATTTCTGAATTTCTGAATTTCTGAATTTCTGAATTTCTGAATCTCTGAATTTCTGAATTTCTGAATTTTCTGAATTTCTGAATTTCTGAATTTCTGAATTTCTGAATTTCTGAATCTCTGAATTTCCTGAATTTCTGAATTTTCTGAATTTCTGAATTTCTGAATTTCGTGGAATTTCCGGTACAAAGTTTTTTCTTCTTTTCCTTTTTTTCCGTTTCCTCCATACATTACAAATGACCCAATATCTTCAGATATCATCTTTTATTCGAATTACCCCTTTTTCTCTTTTCCGTATCCACTTGATTCTATGATTTTATTCGTTTCCGATATCGATCAAAATGATAAGAAATTGGGAAGATAAAGAATTTTCAACTTTTATCTATTTTCCATACCAAAATTAGGTCATATCTCAAAAACTAGAGGTTCTAGCAAAAAATGGTTAACTAAAACAATGTAGAGAAAATTTGAGCGAAAACGATCTAAAATTGGTCAAAATGCATGCTCTCCTCATTTTGGGTCTAGGCAATGCACCATGGTCCATATCTAAAAAACTAGAGATCCCAGCAAAAAATGCTCAATTAAAAAATTGTAAAGCGTAAAATTTTACATTAGAATCGATTTTGAAATTTTAAAAAAATTGAGTCCAAAAATTTTTATGATCACTTTTATAAAAATTCAATTTTTTGACCGCAAAAAATTTCGAAAAACCTCAATTTTCACTCTTTGAGCTTCAAATTCCCATTTTTGAGCTCAGCGAAAAAAGCAAAAAATAATTAGCCTTTGTGGGGTTTGAACCATGGCATTGAGATTGGTAGAAAAATACATGAAAAATTCCACTGAGCCATTTGAGCACTTTTTTTGGAAAATGCTCAAAAATGTCATTTCTAGGGTTTTTAGGGTCGAATTTTGCAGTTTTCAGAGGTTTTAGATTTCAAAATTGAAAATTTAGACCTAGAAAACCGGGGAAAATTGAAAAATCATTTGAAATTCCAATTTTTAACGTAAAATCTCAGAAATCCAATTTTTTGAAATTTTGATTCTAGAAAACTTAGAAAAGTATATATTTATGCATAAAATTCCCAAATTTTGCATAAATGCTAATCAATTTATTCATCATTCCCCCTGAAACAGGAGTGACACTGGGGGGGAGACCACACCCATTTTTATCATTTTTCCCCGTCTCTTTTCTGGGTGTCCTTCCCTTTTTCTCTCGCCACTCTCCTCGATATCTATACTCTCTCTCTCTCTCTCTCTCTCTCTCTCTCTCTCTCTCTCTCTCTCTCTCCATTTTTGGCGCCGCGCCTTCTATCAATCAAGTTGAATTGTGAGAATGGGGATGATTTCATTTTAGGAGAAAAGTTTTACACCCAAATTGTCACATTTTAGAATGTTTTTGGGCACTTTTTTTTGCGAAACTTGACTTGGTTTTCTCCGTTTTTCAGCTATTTTCAGCTAATTTTTGCCTATTTTGCTGACGATTTTGCTAAATTTTCAAAAGTGATTCTAGTGTATAATTTGATGCTCTACATTTTTTCAGTTGACCATTTTTTGCTGAGACCTTTAGTTTTTGAGATATAACCCAAGGAATAGGTGATATGGTGCATTGATTGTAGCCAAATGACTTTTGGCCGATTTTCGACCATTTTTGGCCAGAAATCCTTTTCAAATTTTCAAAACTGATTCTAATGTAAAATTTGATGCTCTAAAATTTTTTAATTGACAATTTTTTGCTGGGAAGTCCTGGTTTTTGAAATATGATTCAAAATCTTAAGCTATACGGGTCATATGGTGCATTGACTTGAAAATTTTGAGAATTAACACGTTTTTGACCAATTTTCCAGCGCTTATTTGATTTTTTTCAAGTCTTTTTTTATTTTTTCCACTTTTCAAAACCTTTAAAAACAAAAAATTCAACCCTTAAAACATTTAAGACACAAAAATTGACCCCTAAAACCCGCAAAAATTGACATTTTTGAGCATTTTCCAGAAAAAATGGCTCAGTGGGATTTTTCATGTGTTTTCTACCAATCTCAGACCCGGGTTCAAACCCCACAGAGACTCAATATTTTTTGCTTTTTTTGCTGAGCTCAAAAATGAAAATCCCAAGCTCAAAAAGTGAAAATTGAGGGTTTTTGGGTTTTTTTAACACTAGAAAAACGGATTTCCCAATTTTTTAGCGGTCCAATTTGGAATTTTTCAATTTTTCAAAATTAATTCTAGTTTAAAATTTTGTGCTCTACATTTTTCTAGTTGACCATTTTTTGCTAGAACATCTTGTTTTTGTGATATGACCCAGAATCTCATAGAAAGGTTGGAATTTTTGAATTTTCAAATTTTCAAAATTGGCGCCAAATTTCATTGTTGGAAAATGTATGGATTTTGTGTCACATTTTAAACGAATTTTGACCAATTTTAGATCATTTTGGTCCAAATTTTCTAAAAATTTAAAAATTGGATCTAGTGTAAAATTTGCTGTTCTACAACTTTCTAGTTGACCACTTTTTACTAGGACCTCTAGTTTTTGAGATATACGCCAATTACCATAGATCACATGGCTCATCGTCCCTGAAAATTTGTCGTTTTTGACCAATTTTTACCCTTTTTTTGGCTTTTTTGCTGGTTTTTTCTCTGAATTTTTGTTTTCTGAAATTTCTGTATATTTTAAAAATGTTTTCAGGTAAAAAAATGCGTGATTTTGGTGGTGGAAGCACCACGTCTTCAGCCAGTACATCAGCCACAATCATCAAAAGGGCTACCAACAACAATTCGACGTCGTCTGGAGTGTCTTCTGAAGTGTCGCCCAATTCGAATTCATCGGACTCACACCACGATCAGAATCAGAACAAGAAATGCAATTGTTGTCCGTTTGGAATACATATTGGACTGGAATTTGTGTCATATGCACAGAATGTCAGCAATGGATTCGTTTCTAGACAAGGTGCGTGGGTTGGGAATGCTGATAATTCAGAAATTCAGAAATACAGAAATTCAGAAATTCAGAAATTCAGAGATTTTTAGATTCTGAGAGTGTGAGATTGTAAGATTCTGAGATTCTGAGATTCTGAGATTCTGAGATTCTGAGAGTGTGAGATTGTAAGATTCTGAGATTCTGAGATTCTGAGATTCTGAGATTCTGAGATTCTGAGATTCTGAGATTCTGAGATTCTGAGATTCTGAGATTCTGAGATTCTGAGATTCTGAGATTCTGAGATTCTGAGAGTGTGAGATTCTGAGATTCTGAGATTCTGAGATTCTGAGATTCTGAGATTCTGAGATTCTGAGATTCTGAGATTCTGAGATTCTGAGATTCTGAGATTCTGAGATTCTGAGATTCTGAGATTCTGAGATTCTGAGATTCTGAGATTCTGAGATTCTGAGATTCTGAGATTCTGAGATTCTGAGATTCTGAGATTCTGAGATTCTGAGATTCTGAGATTCTGAGATTCTGAGATTCTGAGATTCTGAGATTCTGAGATTCTGAGATTCTGAGATTCTGAGATTCTGAGATTCTGAGATTCTGAGATTCTGAGATTCTGAGATTCTGAGATTCTAAAGAAGGAAATGCTGAAATTTTAGAAAAGTTGAAAAAAATTCTGAAAAATCTGAAATTCAGAATTTCAGAAATTCAAAAATTCAAAAATTCAGAAAATTTCAAAAAATTTCAAAAAAAAATTTTTTTTTCAAAAAAAGTTATTTCTGAAAATTTTTGAAATTTCCATTTTTATACCAAACCGGTCCCGCTGATACCGAATTTCACATTTTCCAGGCACCCCGACAAACACGTTTCCACGTGGCAACGGAATTGACCGGCAGCTGATGTCTCCTCTCCTGGATAACAGTATTTTCAGCGATTCATTGGAGAACTTGATGAGTGATTTTGATGATCTGGCTACAGTACCAATTAAAGATGTTGAAAAGGTAATTATTTGAAAATTTGAAAAAAAAACCTGAAAATCGATTTTCAGACAAAACAGTTTCAGAAAAAAAAATTCAAAAAATGTTTTTTTCGGAAATTTTTTGAATCAACTTTTATGGATTTTCCAGCTCATTTTTAACGAAAAACAACCACATTTTCAAAATCAGCATGTCTGAAAATACTAGGAATCACTTTTTCCAGAAAAAAAACAAAAAAAAATTTTTTCCAAAATTTTGAATTTTTCCAGAAAAAGACAATTCAAGATCTGCGTAGCCGTATGCAGGGTGGCTACGATTCTGACTACACTACATATCGAAGAGGTCCACCACCGGCACAAAATATTTTACCACAACCGCCAAGAAGAGCACATTTTGAGTCAAGTGAGCCTATTTTTTTGGATTTTGGCTTGTCAAAGCTGGAAAATCTCATTTTTCAGATCTAAATCCCGATTTTCAGAGTTTCTAGGCCTAAAATCCACGTTTTTCAGCTTTTTTAACATCTAAAAAGTCGAAAAATTTCAGCAAAACCGTCTCCAATCAGCCGCCCGGCAAATTTGAATCTCGGATTCAGTGGAAGCCGGAGTAACACGCCTACAAGATTTGGAGGGTCCAATGGAGGCTCTAATGGTGCGATTTTGATTTTTAGGTCCGAAAATTGAATCAGGGACCCTCGAAAACCCCAAAAAGCCAAAAAATCGAGAAAAACGAATAATTTTGAGCTATTTTAGACCAAAAATCGGAGGATTTCAGTTTTGAGCAATTAATTGAAATTAGCCGACAATTAGACCTAATTAGGGTCATAATTATATTGTTAAAAAACTTAAAATCGACTTCAGGAATCTTGCAAACCCTAAAAACCTCATAAAACCCATGAAAAACGCCCAAAAATGAGCGATTTAGGCGATTTTTCCAAAAAGTGTCCATATGGCTCAATGGGTTTTTTGGCTGGTGCGAAGGGTTGTGGGTTCAAACCCACTGGGGTCCAAATTTTTTTTGTTTTTTTGTAGTGTCTAAAAATGCTGAAAATATCATTTTAGAAGTGGAAATCTGAAAATTTTGGAAAAAAAATTTTTTTTGAAATTTTTTTTTCGACATTTTGGATTAATTTGGGTCATTTTCAGCAATTTCAGACAATTTTTCAGCGTTTAGCAGGTCATTTCCCGCTCAAAATTTTGTTTTTCAGTCTACTCCACCGCTCTTGCTAAAACTGTCTCCGAAATTCGCGCCAGAAATGCCGAGTCACCATTCCCCGACAGTCGTGTTGGGACACCAATTGATTTGGGAGTCAGCCAGCAGCAAAATGGACATGGAAACGGATTTTATACAGCTACGCCGTCAAGATTAGCAAATCCCAGATATGATGATTTGCCACCAACGCCAACACCAACGTTTAGACGAGCTCCGTCTCAAGGTTGGTAAATTTTAGTGATATATAATAGTTTTTAAGGCATATCTAAACAACTAGATGTCCCAGCAGAAAATGGTCAACTAGAAAAATGTAGAGCGTTTAATTTTACACCAAAACCAATATTAGAAAACTCAGAAAATTTGGTCCAAATTGTATAAAATGAGGCAAAAGGCAGGCTCTCTTCATAATGGGGTAAGTCGATGCACCATGTCTCCTATTCCCTGGGGGTATATCTCAAAAACTAGAGGTCCCAGAAAAAAGTGGTCAACTAAAAAATTGTAGAGTATTAAATTTTACACCAGAATCAATTTAGAAAAACCCAGAAAATTTGGTCCAAAATTTTTTATTAACGTTTGACTCCAAAAAATTTAAAAAATTCTAGTTTTTGACACTAAACAGTCGTAAAAACCTCAAATTGCACCTTTTGATCACTGGATTTTCATTTTCGAGCTCTGCAAAAAAAGCAAAAAATAATCAGCCTCTGTGGGAAATGAACCCGGGTCGTGAGATTGGTAGAGAAATCATGGAAAATCCCACTGAGCCATTTGTGCGCTTTTTCAAAATTCGCCGAAAAAGTCATTTTCGACGGTTTCTAGGGTTAAAAATTGGGTTTTAAACCGTTTTTGTTGTCAAAATTTGATTTCTATATAGGACGAAATTCAAAAACCGAAAAAAGGGGCAAAAATTGGCCAAAACGGTCGATTACTCAAAAATTTCAAGTCGATGCACCATAAGGATTTTAACCTACTTTTCCGTTTTCAGGTGACTTGCCACGTGGCTACTCTACCCTTTCCCACAGTACCACCGGACCGAACGACTTTGCCAGCCTTCGCCGTGGCCGAGAATTTGCTCTTCCAGAACAGGACCACCATTCTAGGGTCCGATTTTTCTCTGCGTCTCCGAAAATTCAGAGGGTAGGAATTCGTGAAAAAATTCCGGTATTTTAAGTCCAATTTTTTTCCAGAGAGCCCTCCAAGCTGGTCCATCGATCGACGTGGAATCTCACTTCACCTATGCTCAAACCCAAAATGGTCAAAAAGTGCTGGCACGGACCCAATCCACAAGCACCTCACCACCACCACAACCACCATCGGCGGTAAGAGAAGATTTTTGGGCCATATCTTCAAAACTAGATGTCCCAGCAAAAAATGGTCAACTAGAAACATGTAGGGCGTAAAATTTTACACTAGACCAAATCTTGAAATTTTGAGATAATTTGGTCCAAAGTAGTCTAAAATTTTTCTAAAGGCAGGCTCTCATTTTGGTGGAGTCGATGCACCATGTCGCCTATTCTTTGGGTCATATCTCAAAAACCAGAGGTCGCAGCAAAAAATGGTCAACTGGAAAAATGTAGAGCATACAATTTTACACTAGAATCAATTTTTGAAATTTAAGAAAATTTGGGTCCAAAAAGTTTTATAGTCCCTGGAAAATTTTATCCCTTTTTACCCGTTTTTTAGTGTCAAAATATCTCAAAATACCTCAATTTTCAGTTTTTGAGCTCAGGAATTTTCTTTTTATGCTTAGCAAAGCAGCAAAAAATAATAAGCATCTGTGGGGTTTGAGCCCGGGTTGTGAGACTGGTAGCAAAATCATGAAAAATCCCACTGAGCCATTTGAACACTTTTTGAAAAACTATCTGAAATGTCGTTTTTGATGGGTTCTAGGGTCAATTTTTGTGTTTAAGAAGATTTAAGATGCCCAATTTGTCTCAAAAACATGGTTTTCCATCGGAAAATCGTTGAAAATTCTGAAAAAAATTCAAAATTCACAAAATTTTCTATAGAAAAACGCCTGTTTTCAGTTCGAACCCGTCCCACCAACTCAAGCTACTCAAAATGGTCTCAACGGACTACAAATTCAGAAACCAGTGGTCACAAGATCTGTCGCCGTGTCCACAGGACCCCTTCCAGCACCCAAACCGTGTGGAGAGTGCGCCGGACTTCGAAAGGAGCTCTTTTTGGCAGTCGAAAAGTGAGTTTAGACCTCGTTTTTGAAGGAAAAGAATTGAAAATTTGAATTTCCCGCGTTTTTTTGGTCCTAGAAAGGTTTTAGCCATTTTAAGCCATTTTTAAGAAATTTCTAAAATTCCAAAAAAACAATTTTTTCAAATTTCCAGATATTCCATTCAGAATTTAATTAGTGAGTTTAAGATTTATTTTTGGCGGCGGAAAACTACAAATTTGAATTTGGCGCGCTTTTTTGACCCTGGAAAGTTGAAAATTGACCTATTTTAGGCGGTTTTGGCTTTTTTGGAAAAATGGCTCAGTGGGATTTTCCATCAAAATTTTTTCAAAAATCACCTCGCGGGTTCGACCCCCGGGTGGTCAAATTTTTTTTTGCTTGTTTTTTGAAGCTAGAATTTCTGATTTTCAGCCACTTTAAGTTATTTTCAGTCATTTTTCAAAAATTTCAAAAAAAAATTTTTTCGAAATTCGAAATTTCTCTTTCAGAATCCCTCCACCACCAGCTGAAACCGCCGAAATCGCCACATCTACCGTATCCCTGACCCTCATCGATCAGTCAGTTGGCTCCGAACCCATTTCACAATGCCACGTGGCACTTGGCACCGAGCCAACTTCCACGACTGAAGTTGGCACCGTGCCAGACCCGCGGACATCGCTGCACACGGACACACAGACCGACGAGAGGATTGCTGTAGATCGAGGTTGCAGTCCGGTGGGATTTGAGGAGCCAGTGAAGGAGATAGAAGTGATAAAGGAGGTGATCAAGGAGATTACCGTACCTGCAGCAGTGGAGACTACAGTAACCTCGTCTGGGGATTGTGAAGAATGCCTCAAGCGAAAAGATGTGTTCACAAGAAATGTGGGAGTCGGAGCTTGTGCGATTTCTGATAAAATTTGTGTGAATTGTGATAAGCAAGTGGAGGAGGCTGATGAGAATGAGGCGCCTGGTTTTAAGGTGAGCAATCAGGGCTATATCTCAAAAACTAGAGGTCCCAGCAAAAAATGACCAACTAGAAAGTTGTAGAAAATTAAATTTTACATTAGAATCGATTTATAGTTTCTTAGAAAACTTAGGCCAAATAGTCTAAAATTGGTTTGAAAGTCATTTTGGCTACAGTCAATGCACCATATCACCTATTCCTTGGGTTATATCTCAAAAACTAAAGGTCCCAGCAAAAAATGATCAACTAGTAAAATGTAGAGCACAAAATTTTACAGTAAAATCAATTTTTGAATTTTCAGAAAATTTGATCCAAAAATTGTTTATGGTCATTTAAAAGTTTGGTTTTCGAACTCTGATTTTTTGGAATCAAAATCTCGAAAAACCTCATATTTTAACTTTTTGAGCTCAGCATTTTCATCTTCTAGCTCAGCGAAAAAAAACAAAAAACATTTAGCCTTGGTGGGGTTCGAACCAGGGCCTTGAGATTGGTGGAAAATTGATGAAAAATCCCACTGAGCCATTTGAGGACTTTTTTTGAAAATCGTCGAAAATCCTTCATTTTGGAGTTTTCTAGTGTCACATTTTGCGTTTTAAACTGTAAAAGTTGATAAAATTGTGCTAAAAATGCTATAAAACCGCAAAAAATATTCAAAATCATAAAAACTATGAAAATTGGGCACTTTTCGAAAAATGTGTCAGATGGCCTAGTGGGAATTTTTCATGAAAAATATATGGTGCCAATAGTCTTGGACTCAAGTCCCAGGCGTGGTAGGACAATTTTTTTTGAGCAAGAATTCACACGAAAATGATATAAATTGACAAGAAACATTTTTTAAATGGGATTTTCCAAAAAAATTGAAAAAAATTTGGAGGTTCCAAAATGTTTAGAACAATTTTTCTGGAAATCTAGAAGTCCTATCAAAAAGTCGTCAACTAAAAAAGTGTAGAGAATAAAATTTTACACTAGACACAATTTTAAAAATTTGAAAACATTGGTCCAAAATGGTCTAAAATCAGTCAGAAATCATTTTAGGTATAGTCGATGCACCATATCACCTATTCCTTGAGTCATATCTCAAAAACTAGAGGTCCCAGCAAAAAGCGACCAACTAAAAAGTTGTAGAGCATAAAATTTCACAGTAGAATCTATTTTCAAAATTTTTAAAATCTTCCAGGTGGACCCCGATGACAACCAAAAACAGCGGGAATTCGAAATCGCCAAGGCAAACGCCGTGAAGAAGCTGTTGACCAATGAGCAGAAGAGCAATTTCCAGAGAGGGACTGCAGTGTCAAAGTGAGTTATTGAAGAATGGGAAATTTGAATTTAGCGGGTCCGGGAACCTAAAACGCCGAAAATTAGAAAAAAATGGTCCAAAAAATTTGATCCCCAAAACAAATTTTTTTTTTGAAATTTTGAAATTTTTGAAATTTTTTTCCCACCCCAACTCTTTCAGATCCGCCCGCTTCGACCGCAAACGGTCTGTAGACGACCTGGACTACATTGTGGACAAGAAAAATGCCACGTCATCTGCGGCTGCCACCCCTGAAGCTCCGCCCACAATTCCAGATTCCACAGAATCCCCCCTAAAATCAAAAGTGATTCTTAAAAAAGAGGTCGTCATCGAGGCTCCGCCCCCAAAATCACTTCCTGACCCAATTCCGGCACGAATTCCACGTCCCAAGATCTCAAAATGGGCGGTCACGTCGGAGGAAGAGGCCGCCGAGACACCAGATGAGCAAGAAGAGGCTCAGGATCGTCTGACGCCGCTTAGAAGTGATATGAGGCAATTAGGGAATAGGTAGGAGCTTAAATTTGTCTGAAAGTTGGTTGAAAATGGGGAAAATTTGATTTCCAGATGGCAAAGAAACCAAGTCACCATCTCAACAAACACTCAGCCGTACACAGCGCAAGAGGAGGATATTAGGTGGGTTGTTGAGGGGAAAACTATTGAAAACCTCTTAAAAATTACAAAAAATATGAAATTTGACCCGGAAAACCTCAAAAAACCATTAGAAATAGTCAATTTTGATCATTTCCGACCATTTTTGAGCATTTTCCCAAAAAGTGGTCCAATGGCTCAGTGGGATTTTTCACGAGGGTTCTATCAATCTCAAGAGCCGAGTTCAAACCCCACTGTGGCTTATTATTTTTTGTTTTTTTTTGCTGAGCTCACAAATGTGGATATGAAGCTTGAAAGGTGAAATTTGAGGTTTTCAGGGATTTATAGCGTCAAAAAAAGTTTTCAACTTTCAGAGCTCATCAAAATGTTTTGGAGCAAATTTTCTAAAATTTTCAAATTTTTTCCTTGTGTACAATTTTATGCTCTACATTTTTTTAATTAGGCACTTTTTGCTGGAACCTCTAGTTTTTGAGATATACCCCAAAAACCAAATGGGTATAGGCGACATGGTGCATCGACCACTCCGGAAATTTGAATTTTTCGAGTAGGACGCTAATTTTCAATTGTAAAAAATGTGTTGATTTTGTGTCAAATTTTAAGTTCTACATTTTTCTAGTTAACAACTTTTTGCTAGGACTTCTGGTTTTCAAGAAAAACTGGAAATTTTAATTTCGACTGAAAGTGGCTCAATTTTGGTTGAATTTTTGAATTTATTTACTTTTTTGACATGTTTTTAATTGTTTCTAGTGTTAAAACTTATGAAAAACACAAAATTTGGCCTTATGAACCATAAAAACTATCGAAAGTTACTATTTTTTAGCATTTTCGAAAAAAGTGCGCAAATGGCTCAGTGGGATTTTCCACGGGTTTTCTACCAATCTCAAGACCCGGGTTCAAACCCCACTGAGATCAAATCTTTTTTTTCTTTTTCACAGAGTTCAGAAATGATAAAATGGAATCGTCTAAGGATGAGCAATGCCCTTTTCTAGAATCTCAGCTTTCCAAAATTACCGTAATCCTTATTTTCAGTGACTCCGACGCAGAATCCGATTGCTCAGCACATAGTGACGCGACGTTTGAAGTGAATGATGATGTGTTTGATGGTAAGGGAGTACTGTAGATATATTGGATTACTGTAGTTTCGAAATTTTTCCAGCCGCCCCATTCGAAGTGTCGGATCGTCTTCGGGAGGCACTGGAGAACTTCAATTCGTCAATTTTGGAGCCTGGCAGTGTGCCACAAGAAACTGTGGTGAGTGAGAAATTCAGAAATTCAGAAATTCAGAAATTCAGAAATTCAGAAATTCAAAAATTCAGAAATTCAAAAATTCAGAAATTCAGAAATTCAAAAATTCAGAAATTCAGAAATTCAGAAATTCAGAAATTCAGAAATTCAGAAATTCAGAAATTCAAAAATTCAGAAATTCAAAAATTCAGAAATTCAGAAATTCAAAAATTCAGAAATTCAGAAATTCAGAAATTCAAAAATTCAGAAATTCAGAAATTCAAAAATTCAGAAATTCAAAAATTCAGAAATTCAGAAATTCAGAAATTCAAAAATTCAGAAATTCAGAAATTCAGAAAAATTCAAAATTTGTTTTTTTTATTGCTCATGCTTAATTTAACAGGAATGGTCCGCAAAATTGGTCCGTCATGTGTGGATGACAACTGCTGGGAACTCATCGTCTCGCTATGAAAATGTGGACAAATTTGTCCAAGAATTAGGCAATCTGGGACCCCAAATCCTGCACATGGTCGTCAATTTTTGTGATCAAAATGTGAGTTTTAAGGGACTACTGTACCTTTTTTTGGATTACTGTATTTCTAGGGAAACACCGCTTTACATTATGCAGTGTCACATGCAAACTTTGCCGTGGTTTCATCAATTTTGGATAGTGGAGAGTGCGATTTGGACGCGCCAAATCGGGTTGGTTACATTTTTGGGGGTTATATCTCAAAAACTAGAGATTCCAGCAAAATGTGGTCAACTAGAAAAATGTAGAGCATAAAATTCTACACTAGATTCATTTTTGAAAAACCGAAATGGTCTAAAATGGGTCAAAAGACAGGCTCTCCTCATTTTGGGGCAAGTCGATGCCCATGTCGTCTTGGTTTATGGGTCATATCTCAAAAACTAGAGATCCCAGCAAAATGTGGTCAACTAGAAAAATGTAGAACTTAAAATTTTACACTATATTCAATTTTGAAAATTTGAAAAATTCTAGTCCAGTCCAAAATCTTTTGCAGCTCGAAAACTAAGGAATCCATTTTGACGCCCAAAATGCTCCCTAAACCTCAAAATTCACTTTTCGAGCTCTAGATTTTACTTTTTTGAGCTCAGCAAAAAAGCAAAAAATAATAAACCTTGATGGGATTCGAACCCGGGACGTGAGGTTGGTAGAAAAAGCATAAAAAATCCCACTGAGCCATTTGAGTACTTTTTTTTGAAAATCGTCAAAATGACCATTTTCGATGGTTTTAAGGCCAAATTTTGTAGTTTTTAAGATTTTCAGGGTTTTAAAACTTCAAAATCTAACAATTTTAAACTATTTCACAATTTTCCAGGCAGGCTACACGGCTGTAATGTTGGCTGCCTTGTCCCAACTAGAAGATGAAATGGAAAAAGCAGTGGTCCATCGACTATTCCAAATGGGTGACGTCAACGCCAAGGCATCTCAACATGGACAAACTGCCCTTATGTTGGCCGTCTCACACGGCAAAAAGACCACAACTGAGCTCCTACTGGCCTGCGGAGCCAATGTGAATGAGCAAGATCAGGATGGCTCGACGGCACTGATGTGTGCTGCGGAGCACGGACACAAGGAGCTAGTGAAGATGTTGTTGGCTGAAAATAATTGTAACGCGTCGTTGACCGATGTGGTGAGTGCGGAAAATTTTTTAAAATTTGAGCTAAAATTGTCAAAAACCAATTGGGGAGAGTCGATGCACCATGTCGCGTATTCCTTGGGGTATATCTCAAAAACTAGAGGTGCCAGAAAAAATAATCAACTAGAAAAAGGTAGAACTTGAAATTTTACACTAGAATCAATTTTGGAAAACCCAGAAAATTTGGTCCAAAATAGTATAAAATGGGGCAAAAGGCAGGCCTCCTTCATTATGGGGCAAGTCGATGCGCCATATCGCCTATTCATTGGGGTATATCTCAAAAACTAGAAATCCCAGCAAACAATAATCAACTAAAAAAATGTAGAGCTGAAAATTTTACATTAGAAATTTTTTGGAAATTTAAAAAAAAGTTTGACCCAAAACGTTTCATGAGCCTTTGAAATTCGTAAACCGTATTTTTGACACCAAAAAAGTTCAAAAGCCCCAAATTTCTCTTTTTGAGCGTTAGATTTTCATTTTTGAGCTCAGAAAAGAAAACAAAAAGTTTTGACTCTAGTGGGGTTTGAACTGGGGTCTTGAGATTGGTAGGAAGTCGGTGGAAAATCGCACTGAGCCATTTGGGCACTTTTTTCGAAAATCGTCAAAATGATCATTTTCGATGGTTTTACTGCCAAATTTCGTATTTTTTACAGTTTTTGAAGCGATTTTTAAAGTTTTTGAGGCAAAAAACGTGCAAGTGCCCATTTAACAATGAAAATCGGCGCCAAACTTGAATAATTCGAATTCTCCCTAGTCACCATGTGACCACTATCGTTGGGAATTTGGGATGTATCTCAAAAACTAAAAATCCCAGAGCAAAACAGTCAACTAAAAAAATGTAGAGCATAAAATTTTACACAAAAATCGTACATTTTCAAAATTCGAGACTTGGCGCGAAATTCAAAAAATTCAAGCTTCCCCCGGTCGATGCACCATGTGACTCCTATCCTTGGAAATTTGGGTCATATCTCAAAAACTAGAAATCCCAACAAAAAATGGTAAATTACAAAAATGTAGAGCATAAAATTTCACATAACACCAATTAATTTTCAAAAACTAGAAATTGACGCCAAATTTGAAAATTTCAAATTCTTCCAGGACAACTCTACAGCCCTATCCATCGCCCTGGAGAACGATCATCGCGAGATTGGAGTGATGATCTACGCATATCTTAATTATGGTCGTCTCGATATTTCTGGACCAACTTCTACTATTTAGGCCGGATTTTTTGGGCCTAGAAAGGCCTAAAAAGACCTGTATACCATTTTTTCCATTCCATTTTCCAACACCTCGTGTCTGCGTCTCTTTCTCACTTTTTCTGATGATTTTAAACTTTTGAAATTGCCTTTTTCCCGTATTTATAATGTCTTTTTTTCTGCTTAACAATTTTTCAAAATGTATTTTTTGTGATTTTTGACTGGTATTTTCATAATGAATACATTATATTATCCTTTTTTCGCCCTAATTATGGTCTGGCTAAATTTCTGAATTTCTGAATTTTTGAACTTCTGAATTTCCGATTTTCTGAATATCTGGATTTCTGAATTGCTGAATTTCTGAATTTCTGAATTTCTGAATTTCTGAATTTCTGAATTTCTGAATTTCCGAATTTCTGAATTTCTGAATTTCTGAATTTCTGAATTTCTAAATTTCCGATTTTCTGAATTTCTGAATTTCTGAATTGCTGAATTTCTGAATTTCTGAATTTCTGAATTTCTGAATTTCTGAATTTCTGAATTTCTGAATTTCCGAATTTCTGAATTTCTGAATTTCTGAATTTCTGAATTTCTGAATTTCTGAATTTCTGAATTTCTGAATTTCTGAATTTCTGAATTTCTGAATTTCCGAATTTCTGAATTTCTGAATTTCTGAATTTCTGAATTTCTGAATTTCTGAATTTCCGATTNTCTGAATTTCTGAATTTCTGAATTTCTGAATTTCCGAATTTCTGAATTTCTGAATTTCTGAATTTCTGAATTTCCGATTTTCTGAATATCTGGATTTCTGAATTTCTGAATTTCTGAATTTCTGAAT